TTAATCTGAAAAAGGCTCCTCGACAGCCTGCTTCCCTGGACATCCCTACCAACAACAGAAACCTTTTGTCTATTTGTGCATGAGTGTTCTGGGGTTTAAAGCCTTGGCGCTTTAATTCAACTTCATGGACACCATCAAAAACCCATCACTTACTGTAGCCTCACCCCCACTCCAGTTGCAAAGGCTGATACCCTTTGTGTTGGGGCAATACTGTGCTGCAAAACTTGTCCATGCTTTTGTGGAGTTAATTCTAGGTTCCCTGTTTGATCTTACGGTTCCTCATGCAGTACCGACGTGACTACTCCTTGAGAACATGCACACCTTGCAGTCCGTTGATTGACCTCTTAGGGATTTCTGTTGCCCTCTCCCTCTTACATTCCTATCCACTGCTGCAGCATCCTGAATCCTACCACTCTTCTGCTCTGAAGAAGAGGAACCTCATAATTGTCTTCAGTTAGGGGACTTATGGCACTTTGCTTAGCTTTATTGGAGACTCCCATTGAGAATATTGCCCTACTATTTGTTCATGGGTCATACTTCAAAATTGAAACTGGAGTTATTAGGCTATCTCCAATGCTATCACTAATCTAAACTCTCCTTTATAGGATAGTCCCCTACCTGAGGTAAAGTTAGTCCATATGGCAGAATTTATAACACTTAGGAGAGCGTGTCAACCAGCCAAAGACCTGAGAGTAAATAAACATGTATGCAGATAGCAGGCATGCTTCTGGAGTAGTGCATGATGATTTAGAAACAAAAAGATTGCCTCACCTCTGCTGGAACACTCATCGGAAGTGGACAACAAGTTAAGGAATTTTTAGATACACTTCTACTTCCCAGGGAGATGGCTATTGTAAAGATTAAGGCCCATGCTAACAGAGTTAAGGGAAATCCTCTAGCAGATCATTTTGCCAAACAAGCTGCCTTAACCAAGCTTATGATACTAACTAAAACCCCAAAGGATAAATCTCTGGATTGAGTCAAAGAGGCCATTATTAAATACCCACATTAAGCCCCTGATTTGGAAATGGACGCAGAATATCCTTCACTGAGATCATCCTCGGCACCCTCAAGATGGCCATTTGGCGGCACTAGATGATTTCAAATGGATATTAGCTGAATTGCTCCATGAAACGACTCATCACTGAGCCTGGGTGGCTCAGTTGGTTAAGCATCTGCCTTTGGCTCAGATCATGATCCCAGGGTCCTGGGATCAAGCCCCACATCAGGCTCCCTGCTCAGGCTCCCTCCTCAGTGGGGAGCCTGCTTCTCCCTTTCTCTCTGCTGTTTCCCCCACTGTGTTCTCTGGCTCTCTCTCTCTCTCTGTCAAATAAATAAATAAAATCTTAAAAAAAAATTGCTTACAATTTTAAATCAACCTTGGTCGAGAAACTTTAAAAAGACAGTGGAGGTTATTTGTGGGTCATGTGTTACTTGTGAACAGCACAACCTGGGAAAACTGTAAAGATGAGGCATGGTGGGAGCCAAAGCCTCAAGGACCCTTTAAACACCTTCAGATGAATTTTTTCCAGTTTCCACTCTCCACAGGATTTGTTTATTTTTAGGATGGGTTAAAGCATTTCCTTGCTGAAAACCTTTGCTTGTAATTTTTTTTTGGTCTCTGAAAACCTGCTTGATTTTATGTTTCCAACCTAGGGTATATCAATTTTTATATCAAATGACCAAGACACAATTTATATGAAACCTTTTAAAAGAACTTTGTAAGGCATTACCCCTTCTCAAAAGCTGTACTGTTCTTACCACCCACAAACTTCTGGAAAAATCAAAAGAACCAATGTCATCCTTAAATTAAAATTAGCCAGACTTTCAGAAATCCTTGAGGTCCCTTGGCTAAAGGTACTCCTGCTAGTCCATAAGGCCATATGATCCATTCCCTCAGAGACACATTGGTTATATCCCTCTGAAGTGTTAACAGGAAGGCCCATACATTTAGAAATTTTATGCCTGATATTAGACTCTTCTCTGTAGCATGGAGAAGTGGCAAAATATTGCAAGTGAATCATGTACTATACCCATGAACAAGTTAAGGCCAGCTTCTCACAACACTTCCTAAATAGGCTCTTTATGGGGCACCTGGGTGGCTCAGTTGGTTGAGCATCCGACTCTTGGTTTCAGCTCAGGTCATGATCTCATGTGGTGTGGGATTGAGCCCTGTGTTGGGCTCCCTGCTTAGTGGGGAGTCTGCTTGAAGATTCTCTCCCTCTGTCCCTCCCCCAACTCGCACGTGCTCTCTCTCTCTCTTGCTCTCTCTCAAATAAATAAATCTTAAATAGGCTCTTTATGGTCATCAACCAGGCAATTTCATCTATTGGAAGAGACATTGGATAAAAAATGCTCTTGAACCTCACTGAAAGGGATCTTATCAGGTGTTATTATAAATCTTGCTAATATTAAAAAAAAATCAATGTCATTAAAAAATATAAGCAGTTGTGGAAACAAAGTCTACTGACATGAGAATAAACAGATTGTTTATTCAGAACTTAATATAGGAAAGATTTCAGCCACCATCCCTTACATTTGGCAGAGACTCAAAGACAGGAGGGGAGTGAAAAAGATTTATAGTGAAATAAAGGAAGACTTCAGAAACACTGATTAGAAGTTGGAATAGGGAAGCTGGAATTAGGCTAAGTAGAAGCAGGACATCTTATGGTTTGGGGAGCACATCTGGCTTATATTTGGACCACCCAGAGAAATCTATATAAACAGCTTTCTTGAGTATAACTGACAATGAACTTCACATATTTAAAGTGCACATATCACCTGTGTTATATACAGGTGGACTTTTTCTGCTTACTTTTAGATTAGTCAAGTAATTTTTAGTATTTTTAGTATTTAGTGTTTTAATGGTGGCTTTAGGTTTTATGATATACATATTTAACTTATTACAGTGTACCTGCAAGTAATATTATACACATCAGGAATAATATAAGAATCTTATAGTAGCAGACTTCCATTTTTCCCCTCTGGCCTTTATGCAATTGTTGCCATGCATTTTACTTTTACATATATTTTAAACCTCACAATACATTTTTATTATATTTATTTAAATAGTTACTTTTAAAGAATTAAAATAATAAGAAAAATAATTGTATATATTTACTCCTACAGCTATTTCCAGTGCTCTTCATTGTGTAGATTCAGATTTCTATCTGGTATTGCTGTCCTTCTGTTTGAAGTATTTATTTTAACATTTCTCATAGTGAGGATCTGCTGGTGATGAAGTCTATCAGTTATGTGTGGAAGCATCTTTATTTTATCCTCATTTAAAAAAAGATATTTTTGTCAGATATAGAATTCTAGGCTGACAGTTTTTTTTTCTTTCAATATATTTAACTGTTCTGTCTTCTCACTTGCAATGTTTCTAATGAGAAATATGTTATCCTTATTTTTGTTTCTCTGTAATGTTTCTCTCTGAGTGCTTTAAAATTTTTTATTATCACTGTTTATTAATGTGTAATTTATTATGTACACTGATGTAATGCTCTTCATCTTTCTTGTGTTTAGGTTTTGTTAAGCTTTTGGAAGGCAGGTTTGTGAGTAAAGATGCGATAGAAGGATTGAATTAGCAATGGGAGCTTATGGAAATTCTCTTCAGATTGCTTCAGTGTTCAATGAATTAGGAAGCAAGATCACTGGCTGAGACTGAGGATAGAGAATGATATGTTGGATGTGATAGAAGGTATAAAGTTGTCATGTAGGAAGGTAGGAGAAATCAGTGGAGGGGGAACTTTAATATGGCTTTTGGGCATCTTAAAGGGCACACTTAAAATTAGTGATCATGAATTTAAAGTCAACATGGTTGGGTGTTTTTCTTCTTCCAGTTTTAGTTGCAAAGGTGCAGGCACTTAATATGTGGTTTTGCTAAGGCCAGAATTGTGGCTTTGCCCAGTATTACAGTAATTCAGAGAGGGGAAGGGAGTTGAGGATGTATGCAGGGAATGATTATATTGATTCATCAGCAAATATATCTACATCAATAGATGTAATATCTATTTCCCAATCAGAGTGGAAACTATTAGAAGGCAGTTCTTAGCATCTAGAAGGTGCTGAATATGTATTTGCTGATCCCTGTATGGATGTGTCTTAACAGTAGAAAACCAGGGACTAAAGGAAGCTGTCATATTGGAGCAAATTAACTCCGTTATCAAATAAAATGCTTGTAAAGTCCTTCACATGGCCCACACAGCTCTTCCTGTCCTGGCTCTAGCCTATTAAATCAGCTTCCCTTACACCAAGCTCCCACTGTTCTCTCATCTTCAGATACGCTGAACTTCTTCCAGTTCTTTGCACGTGCCACACAGCTTCGCATATGTGCCTCCCTCTGCAGGGATGTTTTATTCTTCCCTGGTAGCTGACTCATCTACTTTTCAGTTTTCCTGAATAATTCCTACAAATACTCCTATAAATTTAGTATCTAGTAAGTATCTTCTAGTACTTGTCACAGTTCTAATTTTACATTTGTGTCATTGATAGCTGTTTACTACTATGCAGTTAGCCTACTGAGGACAGGGATCTTGACTGTTTTTAGGTCCCGCAGGACCTACCATAGTCTGTGGCACATATGTAGACAGTATAAACATTTTTGGGGAAAAAAAAAAAAAAGGTGAAAGTAAATGTTATATGTGAAGCTTGGTGTGGAGAGCGACATCTGTCTTTTACAAAATTCACGAGAAACTGGCTAGTGCTACATGCCGACCCCTCCACAGCGTTGCCCTGAATCTTGCAGAGAGAACGGGGAAGAAAGAAGGACGCACAGAAGCCAACTCGTCTTACAATTTCTGCCAGACTTTGGGAGGCGCCTGCGCACTGGCCTCACCGGATATACGCCAGGGGGTGGGGGCGGGGCTCGGGTAGCCTAGGCAACATCCCGGAAGTTGCGGGCTGCGTTAACCTGTGGCGGGCTGGGCGGTTCTGGAGCCTGAAGTTTTAGTGGCGGTGGAGGAGGCCGTCGGGAAACGGCAAGGCAGGTTGAGACGACGTGGCGGAGGCCTGCAGCCTGTAGCCCCTGCGAGCCTTAGGGACCGGGCTGCAGGGCGGGGAAAACGGTGGTGGTGTCTCCCTTCTGTTCCCTGGGGCTCTAGGCGCCTGGGTGGAGGATCCTTACATCGGAAAGCGCGCCGTGACTCTGTGTTTTGCGAGTGTTTGTGTGTGTCAGGATGAGTGTCTGGGTGTGTTGGTGTCTAGCGCGCTCCCCTTAGGCGCACCCTGAGTGTGCGCAGCGCTGTCGGGAACTTGTGCACAGAGCTGGAAGTTGGGGGGTACCGTATTGTAGCTATCAAGGAATTTGCAGTCTAGCAGGAGACAGGCTACCCAGGGTACTTGGGGACAGGGAGGGTCATGTTAGTCGACTGGATGGTCAGGAAAGAGTTTATCAGGAGGGGCCGCTGGAATGAGTTTTGATTAGTGAGTGGAGTTACCGCTTGGAGAAGGGAGTGAAAATCTGAAGGGTGTTCCACGCGGAGCAGAAAGGATGGGTGGAACGACTTGTAAAGGTGAGAGTTTTATGTGTGGGAGGGTGAGAGGAGCACAGACTGTTAAGGAGGGTCAGCCGGACCACAAGGAGGGCAGAGGGTCCGAGTGCATATTGGATTCCTCTCTGTAGGGGGGAGCCATTAAAATCTTGTGGGGAAGAAAGTAAAGGGCCGAGGGCTATACTCTATCCTTATATCGGGGTAAAATACTGATTGCAGGCACAGTGTTTGGAAAGGGGTCCTGTTTCCCTTTGGTCGGGTTTCCACTAGCCAGAGTGGATTTGCTAAATCTCATCGTAACTCTCCTTACCTAAAATCCTCCAGTGGCTTCCTATGGGTTCTTTAGGATAGTGTTTAAATTGCTGTAGCTTAGAAGGCCATGATCTGTCCTCTGCCTTTCTTTGTAACCTCTTTCTAGCCTCTCACCTTTTCAAATCTGTTAGTCAAACTGAACTTCTCAAACCCTTTGTAAATGCCTTTTCTCCCTCCTGGAACATTCTTTCCCCCACTTCTAGCTTTATTCATACTTTAGCTCTCAGCTTAAACATTTTGGGAGCAATTAGAGGGATATAGTGGTCTTTTCTTACTGTGTAGAGTAAGCTAGGTATTAACATGACACTGAATTTACTCCCTTTTTATTGTAATTACTCATTTTAATTGTGGTCTTCTGATAAACCCTAAGCTCTGTGAGGGTGCAGACTATTTTACTTTCTTGTTGTATTTTGTGCCTGGTTCTTGGCAGGTGCTTTCAAAATATTTGTTGAAATAATGGGTAATAAAGTGGCAAATGAGTGAAGAAGTTCAATTAGGAGAAAGAGCTTGGACAAAAACATTCATAGTAGAGATGAAGAGGGGACAGATGAGAGAGGTATTTCAGGAAAAGAATGAATAGATTCTGGTATCTGATTGGCTAACAGACAAGAAGGAATAGAAGGTGATGCTAGGGTTTTAAACTGGAGCAACCAGAAGGATGGTAATTCTGTAAGTTCAGTTGAGTTCAGACATTTACTGAGCATGCCAATTATATATCAAGAACTAGAGGTTGGTGGGGAGGGGACATGGATGATAAGCTGTATTTTTGACTACATTGTATGTGAGATATTTGGGAGATAGACACAGAAAGCAGTTGGAAATGAGCATTTGGTGTGTTGAGGAAAAATGTGGATCCTTAATTTGGGGCTCATTTTCATGTGCCCAGTGCATTTGTAGCTTTGTTCAAGGGTATGAGTGAGATCACTGAGGGAAGATGTGAACTCCTTTCTTACTTTCTAGTAAGCTCCATGAGAGCTTGTACCATATTAGACCTGTTTACTGTTTTATCTCCCATGCCTGGTCAGTGTCTGGCATGTGATAGATTCTCAAAAACAATGATTGGATGAAGAGAGAGGGTATCCAATGGAAAGATAAGAGGGTTGGGATAGAACTGTGTGCAGCTTTTTGATTATGTGGTATCTGAGGGGCCAACAGAGCCTGCAAAGAGGAGACGAATAGGAGAGAAACCGAGAGAAAGAGTGTCGTGGAAACAGGAGTGGGAGTCTTTAGAGTTGGAAAGGGTTTTCCAATAATTTTATCAGTTAGGAAAGTATTAATATTTTAGATTTTTTTCAAATAATTTTATCAGGAAAGTATTAATATTTTAGATTTTTTTCAAATAGGCCTAGATTTTCTGGGCTGTGCTGATTTTATATTCCTTAGTACTATAAACCATCAGAATATCTCTACAGTCTCACACTTAAGCATGTAAACTATAGCTCCCTTACGATATCTGATTTCTGTAAATAGCTCAAAAGCTCTTTGTTAGACCACAGAGTCTGATCCTGGGTTAAGAAAAATATGCCCACTTGTATTGATGATGTTTAAGAGAACACTTCTCAGTGCAAGGGTGGTTCCCACGTTACAGCTTAGTTCTCCCTTTGTGATCTTAGCACACACAGGCTGGAATTTAGAGTTGGCCAGTATATTAGTCTCCTACGCTGTATAACAAATTACCACAAACCTAGTGACTCAAAACAATACTCATTAATTATGTCACGATTTCTGTGAGGCAGGATTTTGGACATGGTTTAGCTGGGTAAGGTGCTTAGGGTCTCACAAAGTTCTGATTAAGGTGTTGGTGGTCTGCATTCTTATCTAGAACCCAGCTTGGGAAAAGTCCGCTTCGAGGCTCACCTCACTTAGGTTCTTGGCAGAATTCATTTCCCTGGGGCTGTGTGCCTGAGGGGTCTCTTGACTGACTTTCCCCTCCGGCTGCCCACAGTTGTCTGAGTTCCTGGCCCTGTGGCCCTTTTCACAGCCAGTCACTGTGGCATTTGGCTTCTTCACGGCCAGCAGGAGACACTCTCTTGCTCTGCTCTTGTAAGACAGAGACTTGTATAGTGTAATGTAATCATAGGAATGACCTCTTCTCACATTTGCCTTGTTTTATTGGATAAAACAAATCACAGGGGGAAAAAACCCAGAACAAATCATGGATCCTGTCCAAACTCAAGGGTAAGGGATCATACGATGGCATTATTCATTGCATTTCATCTTAGAGTAACCACAGCCAGCTTTGCTAGGCTCAATTGAAGTTAAAAAAAAAAAAAAAAAGGGAACAGTAGTAGACTGTTGTAGTCCATTCAGACTTCCATAACAAAATACCGGACACTAGGTAGCTTATAAACGAGAAATTTTTTTCTCACAGTCTGGAGGCTGTGAAGTCCAGGATCAAGTCTCCAGGATGGTCATGTTTGGTAAGGGCCGTCTTCCTGGTTCCTAGCCACCATCTTCTTGCTGTGTTCTCACATGGTGAACGGGGTTAGGGAGCTCTTTGGAGCCTCTTTTATGACAGCCCTGGTCCCATTCATGAGGGCTCTGCCTCCCAAAGGCCCCACTTCCCAAAGGCCCCACCTCCTAATACCATCACTTTTGGGGGTTAGGATTCAACATGAATTTTGGGGGAACACATTCACTGTTTTTGTCAGTGAATATGGGGTTTTTTTGGATGTTACATTTTCTTATGCTAAAGTTGAAACCTGTTCACGTTCCCACAAATAATACTCAGGCATTTGTTCAGTTTTTTTTTTTTTTTT